GGGGGGGGGGAAACAGGACAAGACCACAAGGATTGGTAAAGATCAAGAGCGAGAAGCTTCTTGCACAAACCATTTTTCCTGTACAAAGTTGTCAGAGGGGAAAATAAGAGAACGCATGAATTCCTCTTATTACCGTTTGCTCTTAGCTTTCTAGCACTTCCGTAGGCAGCTCTCTAACCCCGGCTCTGGCACGTCCAAGCAAAGGACGGCATTTTGATCATTTTCGGCCTGTAGGTATTCATCGAGGCTTTTAGTTCTCTTAGCATCTGGTAGCGACACACCCACGGGCCCAGCGTGCGCTGCACCCTACCTACCAGCTTCCCGGCATCCATGGTCTCCTTCAGCCGTTTGCCCAGTTCGGATCCAGATGCCACCATGGCCCTCAGCATGTCACCTGTTGCCAGGTGGCAAATACAGTACCTCTCAGCCAGCTTGGGAGCCTGTGATGAGGTAAGACACAAGGAAACATCTCTGTCACCTGTCAACAGTTTGATTTTTCCACAGGCCATGTTTGTATCGAGGGGCACAACTTTCGCCCCATAGAGATGGAAGCAATTTTAGCCTAACTAAGGGTTAAGCACCAAACAGGATTTATCAGACAAGTTACACAAATGGCAGCAAGCAGCCAGTTTTGCAAGAATGAAAACCTCCGGGGCCACGCCCTATGTTGTGGAATTGCTCACAAAAGCTAAAGGAGTGGAGGAACGAGTTTCTAGGGTCAGAAGGGACCCAAACAGATCAACTCCGACCCCCAACTAGAAATCAAAGAGATGGAGAAATTCCCTTGATTCACACGGGGGATTAATCCTCCCCTGTGAAAAAAAGCAATGTGGGGAAGCTCTGAAGAGCCTTAAAAACAAGAAGTTGCTAGTTCGGACCCAGCAATTGCTCCACGCGGTGCGCCGAGACATGTGCGGGGGTCACGGGCAGCTCCTCGACGTGTGGGGGGGATGCTCGCGCCGTGCTCGCTGCATCGTCCTGGGACTTTTGCCTCCAACCATCGCGCTCGGCTCCTCCCAAGCGGGGCGACGAGCGCAGCATCCCGCAGCTCTCGAGCGCGATCGTTTAGGCATCTCTGACGCCGAGGACAGTGGCAGGAAGAGATCCTGCAGCGTGGAGCCGGCTGGAGGCCTGTGGCCGGGGCTGGGCGGCTTCGGGGAGGCCCCAAGGCAGCGCCACGTGTCCCTGCGTCCATCAGCGGGGGGCACCCGTAGGAGGGCGGTTCTCCAGGGCCGGGGCCGGGCCCCTGACCCCAAGCGCTCCCTGGGGCAGGCCCACCCGCGCCCCTCACCTGCGTGCCCTTGCCTGCCCCGGGCGGCCCCAGCAGCACGGCGCGGAGGCCACGGCGCACGTCCTCTGTCTGCACGTTTGGAGCCATGGTGCCGCTACCGCCGCCCGGCCTCCGCTTCCAGCAAGGGCCGTGGCGCCCGCCCACCGCGCCTCTCCATTGGGCTGCGCCCCGCGCCCCGCCCCTACCGGGGCTGGATGGGCGCGCGCCGTAGCCAATAGCCGGCGGGCGGCCGCCGAACGGGACAGGGATTGGCCCGGGGACGGGCCGCGCGCGGGGATACACCGGAGCATCTCCAGTACTTGCGGCTGCCAGGTAAGGGCCCCTGTGCCCGCCCACCCCCCGCGCCATTGGGCGGCGGCAGCGCCCGCAGGGCCTGACAGACGCGAGTCAGAGCCAATTGGCGGTGGGTAGGAGCTAAGCTCCGCCCCCTTCACGCACTGCTTCACGCGCGCGCACACGTACACACACATTCACTCCTTTCTGCCTTCTTTTTTATACACGCACTCCTCCTCCTCACACACATACACACTCTCCTTCCCCTCCCACACACACACACACTTCTTCACACATACACGCGCACTTCTCCCTCCCCCCATACACACTCCTTCCCCTCCCACACACACAGACACTCCTTCCCACGCACACGCACACGCACCCGGCGGGGAGGGGCCTCCATCTCTGCCATCTCCTAGGGCCCAGGCCGCCTGGGTTCTCTTCTCAGCTCTGCCACTGCCCAGCCGGGTGACCCTGGTCAGCTCACTTCTTGCTCGAGGCGATGCATCTCGACTGACCAAGACGCAGCAGGGGCGCGTGGTGCGGCTCGTCCAGTAGAAGATACCGACCACCACAGTCCTGGTCTTTGGCTGCTGCGACAGTTCTCAGTCCCCCTCAGACTCGGGACCCCCCTCGGAAAACACTAGCATGTTTGCTTCTCCTTGGCTTTCGGCTGGACAAACTACCAGAGCGATTCCTCTGTTGCAGTGACCCCGCAGAGCCCACAGCAGGGTGGTGCCCACCCTGGATTCCTGCTGGAAATCCCACCTGGATTTCTGTTGTGGTCTGTGTTGGCATCTGTCCCCCGACCGTGCTGATATTGTGCGTCACCCTTGAAAGGATCTGCCGCCCCCCCGGGTGCTGTGTCATTGTCTGGCTGAGAGTCACTGCTTTACAGCATGGGGTGCTTGCTGCGCGAAGGGGCACGAGAAGTGCACTGGGTGACTTTTGGGTGGCCTCTTCTCACTGGGCCTACCTGTGCCAGCTGCACAAGCCACGCCTGGAGTTCCTGCTGTGCTCTTTGCAAAGACAGGGCTCCTGCCCAAGGGACACCCCTGGGACACCCCCCCCCCCAGGACACACTCTCTTTCAGAAGACAGCAGAGCACAAGAATTTATCCATACAGCCGGATATGTGGAGAAAAACATGCAGCCGCTGGGTGCCAGTGTGGAGTCTCCTTCCACAACAGCATCTCCAGCACCAACTGAGTCAGGTTTGTCCCAAACCCATCTTGGAATCTCCCCCCAGCTCCTGAGATACCACCGCACTTGTATTAACCAGGTCTGGTACCCTCCACTTACTTCTTCCCCATAATCCTGTGGCAAAGTGTTAGCAAAAGAAATACAGGTGTTGATTCCTTGCATACTTTGGACCCCTCGGAGCAGTGGGGGATCGTGATCTCTTCCAGCCCTGCTGGTTAATATGTCTGGGAGACCGCTGTGCCGACACAGCCCTGCGGGGATAGGCTCCATGCAGCCACGGGGGTCTGTCAGCATGCACGTACCGAGTTTGCAGGCTCAAAAGCCCTAGAGAGCAAGGTGTTCAGAGTAGAAGCTGTGTGCGCTCTCTGTCAAGTGATGTCCTTGTTTGTGGCATGATGATAACAAATACTGTTTAGTGTTTGCATGGCATGTTTTGTCCATAGATTTCCAATGCAGGGAAACTGAGGCACGGTAACTTGCCTACATCAGTTGCTGAGCTGAGAATAGAACCCAGGAGTCCTGATACTCAGTCGTAGGTATGTTTTACTAGACAGTTTTGCCTTTCTCTTTTAATGTTGAGAAGAACCGTTATCTTTTCAAGGAGATGAAATTGCATTTCTTTTTCCCCTGCCCTTTTCTCTGCTTTTGCTGTGACACCCAGTTAAGAATCACTGGTCTAGATCAAGAGGTAAATGCTTTTAAGTCCAGTGGTGGGTTTAGAGTTTGTCTGTGTCCACTCGCCTCAATCCACAATTACTTTTTAACAAGCTGGCTAAAAGCATCACTGGAAGCTGTGGACAGGTGCCCTGCTTGTGGGAGCTTCTGGTTTGCTGATTCTTCTTCACTAGGCTCCAAATGGCTTGGCTACAGGCTTTAAGTTGCTGAAGGATTAGCCCCATCCCTGATTGTGCTCTATCTGCCTTGTCATTGTGGAGTTTGCCTTTGGCCATGAGAACCAGGCAAGGGGAGGGCGCCACTGTCTAGACAGCGGGCCTGCAGATCACGGAGGAGGGACCTGCCTCTGGCCAAATCTGGATGAGGCTAAGCTTTGGCTCAAGCTTTCAGCTGGCCTTATAAAGAACAGGGTGCAGCCGGGGCAGCTGTGATTGCAGGAAAAGAAATAGAATGACGAGGAAATAGGAAGCCCTGATATATGAGACTCGGAGCCTCTCTGAAAGGCCACGTTTTCTGTTGGTTCATTGCTGACAGTGGCATGCAGAGACTGGAGTAGCAGCTCTCTGCTCCCCTCTGGCTTCTTGCATTTGAACAAAAAATATTTTACCAATCCTAGGGCTTTCCCTGTGTGCATGAAACTGGTAACCATAACTAGCCTCCATGTGCATACCTGTCCAGCTATTATCTCTTGTCTTCTGCTTAGATTGTCAGATGTTTGGGGAGAGGGCTGTCTGCTTGCGATCTGTACAGTGCCTAGCATTTTGGGGTCCTTGGCTGTGACTGTGACTTCTACCTGCCACCACTGTATCAGTCACACAAACAAGGATTCTGAGACGCGGCGCGTGTAACTCGCTTTCTTGTCCACTGTCCTGTGCAAAGTCGGGCAGATGGGTTGACTCCCAGGCTTGTGCCTGGAACACAAGATCAGCCTTTCTCTCTGGGTATTATCACCCATGAGACATCACACAGGTCAGAGGAGACTGGGGGGGGTGGTGTCTGGGCTCCACAGAGGCTACATGCATCTTTCCAAACACCAATGCACACCCTACAGTTGTCCAGGGGAGCTTTCTGGTGTAGGAACAAATACACAACTGCACTGAAATCAACCATAGTCTAGTTCATGGGATGGTGGCTTCTTGTGATACTCTAAGCTGTAATAAGAAAGCCATGGAAGTGAATGTGGATCGGGTGGCTTAGCAAAAACCAGATCAGAAGGTGTCCTGGAAGACGGACTTTCATACTACAGCCTGTCACATCACGAAACAGAACAGCCCCACCCTGGACGTTGCCCTCTGTCTCCTGTACCAACAATGAGTGAACTTAGGCGATGATGGAAGGAAAGCAGAGTCTCTCTGTAACCGTTCTTCCTCTGCCTGGAGCCCAGGTACTTTCTACAGCTCAGGGAGGCCACTCTGGCTCTCAGGAGGTCCAGCCTCTGCTTGAAGGAGCAGTGGTCAAATATCACTGCTGTTATGGCAAGCTCGTATCCAGAGCAAACCAGCATGTGATGAAGCAGGCGGCTACTGATTAATTCCCTGCATAAACAGAGCTAATTCAATTAGCTTTCGTCTGAAACAGACAAACTAACCAGGGCTTTTCCAGAACTGGAAGGAACAATGCTCAAGCCCTTGTGTTTCTTTCCCTCTAGCTGCATTTCAAGGTCACTGGGCAGGAGGGGGTGCAGAGGTGCCAAGAGATAAAGGGCTACTCAGACCTGCTTGTGTTCTTCCCACCTCTCCCAGGCACAGAATCTCCCTGCATCCGAAACGGTTTGAGTTTGGGGGGATATCGGGGTTTGGGTTCCTCGGTCATCATCGTAACAAATGCCCCCTCCAGTGAGAGCACAGGGCCCATTTAGAACCAGGAGAGAGAGAAATAACTTCATATGGGTAAAGCTATTGGGATATGAAATGAGATCCGGTGTAGTCCTGAGCACTTCATAAACTTTAATGAGCCAATTTGCCTGCCACTCCTGTGAGCTAGGGAAGAATTGCTAACACCAGATGGGGAAACTTGGTACAAAGTCAGGGCCAGAACCAAGTCAAGGATTTGAGACGTCCCAGTCTCCCTGTCCTGTGGTTAGGGCATGCTTTGTTCTGTATTGCATGCAGGGGGAAATAGCCTTCATTCCCCTTTCCTTGTACCCGTGCATCCACTACATACTTTGGTTAGAGCAGTGGCTCTCAACCTTTTCAGACTTGAGATGCCCTGAAGAGACTCAGTGCTCCCCTTGGAAAATGCCAGCTCTTAGTTTTCACTTATTTTTGGCTACAGAAAAATAATAGAGCAATTATTTTGTTGCACAGACAACAGGAATTCTGTTGGCATAGGCTTCTAATAAAGACTGTGACAGGTCACAGTGTTTTTAGTATTACAGATTCCTATTTGAAATCTCTGGTTTTATCACATGAATCATGTTTACACATCTAACAGTGCTAACATTATTATGTGGTACCCTGTGGTGCCCTTAAAACGATGTCAAGGCACCTGAGCTGAGATTCGCTGCATTAGAGGGTGTGCTATGAATTGCCATAGCTGTATCTAAAAGGTCTGGGCTGCTTCTGTCCTAGGTCTGGTTATCTTGTGTGACCCATTATGGTCCTCTGCAGCTTAGCTGCTTTGGGCACAGAGATGATAGTACAGTACTAGTGTCTAGTCCGGGGATAGCTCTGTCCTGTGCAGTGCGGTGTCTGTACCTAGTACAGACTTCTCCCATGCATGGGGATGTGTGTCTTTTGCATGGGACAGTCTCATCATGGAGATAAATGAATGTGTCTGTAGGTACGTACAGAATAGAAGATGGCTGCAGGACATTAGGGTATCCAAATGTTCTAAAGTAGAGAAAATGGGCACTAGCCTGTTAAAGCTGCCAAAACTACCCCTTCGGCTGGTGTAGTACAACAGAGCTCTTTGGAAGTCAATGGCACTACATCATTTTCCCTTAGCTGAGGGTCTGGCCCTTGTCTGCATGGTGACACAAG